CCATTGATTATATAATCAAAAATACTTATATTTATCCACATATTTAAACAATTTCAATCGATAATTCTAAATAATTTATCCTTTATGTAATAAAACTTGTCATTACAGGACTCTAGCATGGGTTATAACATCCATGATATCCAGGGGTTACGCTCACTTTAACTCTCTACACCCCTGGAATATGTCATAGCAAAATTGAAGGCTCGGTGTGCGCCACCTTGTTGATAAGACAATAAGACTAGTTCGATCATTTGATATACAACAAAAGAATCTCGGGGTCACGTAACGGTAAGAGTTGACAGGCTTTGAAGTCGAGCGTTTCTCCTTTGTAGTCTTCAAAGGACAGGTATCAGCCTAGCGATTGGTCAGGTTTTTTTACCTGAGACCAATCAAACAGCTATCTTCGTGCCTTCAATTTTGCCATGACATATTCCAGGGGTGCAGAGAACGAAAGTGAACGTAACCCCTGGATATCGAGGATGGGGTGATACACACATATAATGCACTCTTAAGTCATTGAGGTTTGACCCCGATGTGTACTATGTGCTCATCAGTATGAAGTGCAAAGTGACAATCATCGTCACTGTTTAGTGGGTTAAAACTCAACATAATGACATTTTTCATGCGGCACATATCGCAGCACATATCGCAGCCAAGGTGAACAGATCGCAGCCTCCCAAAACACACACGCATACACGCCACACATGCATCTTGCACACAGGGGAGGCCGTCCTTAAATGAGCATAGCTGTTGATAGGAAGTTTAACAATATTAAACCAAATCAAACCAAACCAAGATATATACACTGCTATCCATGAATATTTGGTTTGGTTTTATTTTGTTAAACGTCCTATCAACATTTAAGGTCATTTAAATACGTGCCTCCGTGTGTGTTATGTAAACGTGCATGTGTATGATGTGTGCCGGAGACAGGGTATGTATGCATTGTTGACATTTACAGGTTTACTGTGTATCTCTGTAGGAGACTTGACGAATTGTTCATTTGTCACCATGTTTAAAATACATATTCAATGCAAAATAATATCAATATATATAATGCTTGTTATATCTAACAAAGAAGTACAAACCGGAACTGAAATTCGATAATAAAAATTCAGTAAGAACAAATGAGAAACAAAACAAAGACGACATGATCTAACAACAACTAAAGCATCCTCGATATCCAGGGGTTACGCTCACTTTCGCGCTCTACACCCCTGGAATATGTCATAGCAAAAATGAAGGCACGAAGATAGCTGTTTGATCAGTCTCAGTTAAAAAATACCTGACCAATCGCTACATCAAAGGATCGAACAAGTCTCCTTGTTTCATCAACATGGTGGTGCACACCGTGCCTTCAATTATGCTACGACATATTCCAGGGGTGTAGAGAGCGAAAGTGAGCGTAACCCCTGGATACCGAGGATGCAACTAAAGGAGCAGCCAGGCTTTAGAGAAGGTTTGGCGATTCCTCATCCTCGATAGCCAGGGGTTACGCTCACTTACGCTCTCTACTTCCCTGAAATTTTCCATAGCATTTGTGGATAAGACGAGAAAACTAGTTTGGTCCTTTGAGTACATCAAAAAAATCTCGCGGTCGCGTAACGGTAAAAAAGTACAGGCTTTGAAGTCGACTCCAATCAAATAGCTAGCCGCGTGCCTTCAATTTTGCCACGACATATTCCAGGGGTGTAGAGGGCGAAAATGAGCGTCACCCCTGGATTTCGAGGATGGCACCCATGTAAAACTTGCTATGATATCAATTACATTAAGAATTATATGAAATATGTTACTTCGTAAAACTTTACCTTTTGTACGGAAGCCTTAATGACCCCCACAAACATCTTCCTATCAGCTGCAGCCAATCAATGAGTGAATTGCTCACTTGTCTACTGGTGACATACGTTTACTGTTTAGTTCTATAAATAACTCAATGTACTTTAAATAACTCAATATACTTTAGATAAATCAATGTACTACTAAGAACGCATTGCACTTTAAATAACTCAATGTATTTTAAATAGTTCAATGTACTGTAAATAACTCAATATATTTTAGATTACTCAATATACTACTAATAACTCGATGTTTTTTTTTGAATAACTCAACATATTTTAGATCATTCAATGTACTTTAAATTACTTAATATATTTTAAATAACTCAATATACTTTTAGAAAACTAAATAAACTTTAAATAAATTAATGTAATTTCAATCACTCAATATAATATAAATCACTCAAATATAAGATAAATCACTCAGTATTATATAAATCAGTAAATGCATTATTAACCACTCACTTAACAGCAATATTTTTTTTATAATTTAGCAGTCAGTCACTTAATGTACTGGCAACAAACAAAAAATCACACAAATCTATACTCGCGGTAATGCTTTAAACGAATGGTTCGTGTGAATGTGAACGTTAACAGAAACAGATTAATGTGGTATGGTCAGCGATAGATGGATTCGCGATGTTTTGTTCTTGCGTAAAACTCGAAAATAATGTCTCACGGCATGTGTTTAATTGTACAGCACTGACAACAAACAGTGTAACTATATATCTCTGGTACACGCCACGCCTCGACAATATAATGACGGCTGTTTCTTGATAACATCTGGACGCTATGACTTCAATTGTACTCGTAGATAGCATTATGTAAAAACGTATGTCATTGATTTTGCAGGCCCAGAACATAATAGGATTATACACCGACTTGCTATTGTTTCACAATGACTCAGAGAACGTTAGCCTACTGGACTTTGCCCCCGCGAGCTGCCGAGTGTACCACTTGTGTGATACATCATTAACATGTATACATGTATGTTACTGTGACGAATTAGGAGCCGATCCTTACATAAACGTTTGATAGTTTACTGTCATTTTGTTGTCATGTTCTATTCCTTTAATCCTAAAACAATATCACAGAGAGATTTTTTACCATGTGTTGCCAAATTACATTTGAAATAATTATATTAATGAAATAAATATCAATGATACCTTGGTTAATCAAAGCAAGCAGTGTTAATGAATAACGATCTATACTAAAAAAAACTCATTGTAGTTGGTACTAATACATTTCAATATACAATGTTAGCAAATATATATTTGAGGAATAATGAAAATTAATCTATCAGAGAGAAGGAACATTAACTTTTTTTATTGTCATCTATAAATCTGGAGAAAGTCCGCAGAACTATCCGTGATTCATAGAACAGGGGGGCAAGGTGAACATATCGCAGCCTCCCAAAACACACACGCATACACGCCGCACATGCATCTTGCACACAGGGGAGGCCGTCCTTAAATGAGCATAGCTGTTGATAGGAAGTTTAACAATATTAAACCAAATCAAACCAAACCAAGATATATACACTGCTATCCATGAATATTTGGTTTGGTTTTATTTTGTTAAACGTCCTATCAACATTTAAGGTCATTTAAATACGTGCCTCCGTGTGTGTTATGTAAACGTGCATGTGTATGATGTGTGCCGGAGACAGGGTATGTTGGTGTACTTGCCTCCTTGTGATAGCGCGGATCTGATGCTGACTTTACAGAGCTATCTCACTGAAACATCACATTATACTAACAAAGGGTGAACCAGTTGTTGCCATACCTCTCAATGCTGAACGTTAATCAGGGAATAACAACTACCATTTTTAAGGACTTAACCATAACCATACAACCAAACATTAATTGCATTTCCCTATACTTTACACTGTATGGTGATAATTAATGCATTTTATTGTAGGAACATACCTCGCTAAACGCTAGAACTAATATTAATATCCGGCCTCCTCTGCCCCGGCCGGCCTCTGACCACGCAATATACAGAAACAACGTCTCGTCGTCAGAAAGCTACGTTATCGCAGCTAGGTAAACGTATGCTATAATTCCAAAATTTTCTCCAAAACTAACTTTATATGAGAAAATAACATATGACGATGGTTACCAGTATTTTCTTGACAAACAAATCCTTCCTAAACGTGAAAGCATTAATCTGTTTTCCAAACACGGTAAACCGTCAGTAAGACGAGGATCTTTAAACACAATGTCCTGTTTGTTCCCGTAATCATCACAAAACCACGTGATCATGAGCTCACCTGCAACTTCGTCAGTTATCTTTCTTCCGTCAATTTCTGCATTACACGACATCACCTCCATAACGGCAGCAGCGATTGACTACAAACTTGTTCTGTATGAGGTCTCTGCCAGGTGTTTTACTTTTCTTGGCGATTCGAAAATCCAAAATGGCCTTTTATTAGGTGCCACCCTGCTCTCCGGTTGGCCAAAAAATTTCCGAATAGCGCTCCGAATGATTGTCAAAATCGGTTGCATTCATCGACCTCGAACTTGGTACAAATGTTCTTTATAAGATCTCCCATAGCTGTTGTTACTTAATAAGGTCTCCCATAGATGTTGTTACTTTATAAGGTCTCCCATAGCTGTTATTACTTAATAAGGTCTCCCATAGCTGTTACTTAATAAGGTCTCCCATAGCTGTTAAGGTCTCCAATAGCTGTTGTTACTTTATAAGGTCTCCCATAGCTGTTGTTAAGGTCTCCAGTAGCCGTTGTTACTTTATAAGGTCTCCAATAGCTGTTGTTACTTTATAAGGTCTCCAATAGCTGTTGTTAAGGTCTCCAATAGCTGTTGTTACTTTTCATGTCAATGCAAAATCCGAAATTGACGTTCTGGTCGTGCGAGTGTTAAGGTCCGTTATGTATATCAAAATTATAATTACGGCAGTTGTATATAATATACAAAACTAGTGTTAAATAATGTCTTTCAATGCTTATTTGCCATTTAACTTGTACTTCAATTTTGAATGTGGTCTAACAAAACCCCGTATTATTAATAGAAGCGAAGTGTTACATAATGAATTATTTTCAAATTTTGATGAATTATGTCAAGTGTCCATTTCTCGTCGTCAACGTCATCTGCTGCAATGACATCAACTGAATCAAAACAGCAAATAACAAAAAATACTAAAACCATCTTTTAAACGTTTTATTTCTCAATGTAACTTGAAACATGATTGACAATAAGTTTGTATATTCTGAATGAAAAGCGCCATCTATATAATACCTGAGCGCCACCTAGTGTTTAAGTTGAGAAGCTTACAGCACAGTAAACCCAAATGGAGGAGAATACCGCATTCAACGTTTACATGTGTCCTCATAACAAGCCTTTGTAGGGCTGCAACATATCAGTTTCAATCTTTCATACAGATCTCTGCAACTCGGAACCCGAGTTCCGCAATTCGGAACCCAATCTACTTTTAGACAAGAATGGTGAAAGACAGGTGTTTGGTAGTTTCCGATACAGATTCCTAGTAGTATGGTATCTTGGAGTTAGGATTCACCAGGTACCCCTACCAGTCATAATGAACTGTTCCAATGACAGAGTTAAAAAATCAGGTACCCATACCAGTCATAATGAACTGTTCCAATGACAGAGTTAAAAAATCAGGTACCCATACCAGTCATAATGAACTGTTCCAATGACAGAGTTAAAAAATCAGGTACCCATACCAGTCATAATGAACTGTTCCAATGACAGAGTTAAAAAATCAGGTACCCATACCAGTCATAATGAACTGTTCCAATGACAGAGTTAAAAAATCAGGTACCCATACCAGTCATAATGAACTGTTCCAATGACAGAGTTAAAAAATCAGGTACCCATACCAGTCATAATGAACTGTTCCAATGACAGAGTTAAAAAATCAGGTACCCATACCAGTCATAATGAACTGTTCCAATGACAGAGTTAAAAAATCAGGTACCCATACCAGTCATAATGAACTGTTCCAATGACCAGAGTTAAAAAATCAGGTACCCATACCAGTCATAATGAACTGTTCCAATGACAGAGTTAAAAAATTACTTAAGTGTTGGACAGGATAAATGAAACGTCACATCCAAGTAATATGATATAATATGTTACAAAGACTTTTCTGGTGAAAAAATAAATTAAATTTTGTTTGAAATCAGAAACAGTGTACTACAATTTTACATTATCTCCCCAAACTTCTGATATGACGATTTCAAACTCTTGATTGAGAAATAAACCTAACGTTCATGGAAGGAATGTGACCTTTCTAACATAATTTAAGAACAAATTTATGACACTCGAGCAAGAATACCAAAACTGCGAGCAAGAATACCAAAACTGCTAGAGTATATTAATGGATTTTCCTATGAATGTTTCGTTTTGGGCTGAGGTCATACACATTTTCCAATGGCGTACCTGATATCAAAGAGAAGAAGATCATAGGTAGGAGTCAAGAAGGGAAAAAGAACAAGCTAACTATTCATGAATATCATAAAACGATGAACTACTGAACCAAAAGTTTGATCCATCAACGCGACTGACAATTTCAACCTGAAACTCTTTCTGCGAACGACCTTACTATACACGTTTTTGTCATTTTGCTCTTTAATTAATTTTACTGGCCAATCAGAAAACAAAATGACAAAAAAAACTTTCTTCAACTCTGGCCTTCCTTTACTGAAAGATCGATTATAAAAACAATATTCAGTTTTGAAATTAAAAAAATATGTTCATCTAACTTTAATGCCCTATGTTAGTCAGATGTGTCGCAAATACACAAGAACTCAGGGGAATCGTTCCGGATTCGTTTGAGCAAATGAACAGACCATATGTCCAGTGAATTATGTCTTTGGAATATGTAAATGCCAAATCATGAATCAACTTAAAATGATGTATGGATCTGTTCATTCAGCAACGTTCCCAGAAACGGTTCCACGATCAGTTATCCATTTGTACGGTTAAATACTATGGGCAGTTCCAATAGATTGCTGGCCATTGCATAAAATGGTGAAGAAAATGGCCCCTTTGTCGCCCGTCAAGTGTTTGACCCAAGTCACCGTATTTTCCTTTTCCTTACACCATTGTTCCACACACTGTACATCGGGAATAATGCCACATTCTGCAGCATTGTTGTAAAAAGTGATCAAACCAAATCAGAAAAGATTTTTTTCGTGAATTTCGTTTTCCGTGAATTTAAAAAAAACCCATAATAATGACGCTTCAAAGAACCTCCTCAGAAATCAAAGAAATAACATTATTTCAGCCTATAGTCATCAGAATGTTGTGTTATGCCGAAATTAAAAAATAAATAAAAAATTCTACAGAATAATTCCCGATATACAGTAATGACAGCAAATTAAAACTACATAGTTTGATCATCAAGAAAAACACTAGAACTTATCACTTACCACAACCTTGAAGTAAAACCCTTCCAACTGCGTAAATACAGATCAGTCAAATATCTCTGGTAATTTGAATTAATTGCCTAGTCTGTAAATAAGAGTTGTACAAGTGAGTAAAAACATATCTTGTTTCCAGCGAAAGCAAAGAAAAATCTTTTTCCCCGATGAAAATCTTATTTTGCTGTCACTTTGACGACTCCCAACATTGTTAGGCACTGTACTTCAATAACGTAGAACCTTGCTTAACGCATTCAACCCTGAAATTCCATATTGAACTATTGCATCCTTTGACTTGGAAGAGTTCAAATGTGTCTTCAGGGGTGAGGGTGTTAATCATAGTCTATGATTTCAAGATTTCATTCTTTAGAAGTTGGTGATATCTGGAACAATGAAAGAACCCTGTTTTTCCGGTAATGGAATAATCCAAGTTGTTTATATTAGCTGAACTACTTGCAGGGGAGAGAGTTGGAAGGGTTGACCGCACCTGAACAACTAGCCCGTGACAAACTTGTGTTTCAATATGGTTACAAGCACCAGAAAAGGAACTTATAGATTGATATTGTAATTGTCTTCAGCACATTCACACTGTACAAACATATTTTCACCAATCAAATCACTTACAACATACCAGTCTCTAACCAATGATAGCTCAGGGTATATTAATATTTCACCCAATCAAAAAATACATATACTGCAACCAATCATATTCAGTTTCTCAAACATACTAATGTTTACATACGAACAAAAAAAAACGTCTGAATCAGTCTCTCAAGCTGCATAAAAGCCATGCAAGGACCCTTTCATATTGGAATAATTAAGTACATTTTAAATAAAATTAAATACTTTAAAAAGTTAAAATAATATATGATAAAATGTCTTTTATATTATGCTTCCCTATACAAATACAAGAAAACCTGTTTTAAATTATAGCACTTCATGTGTCCTCATACTTCCACTATAAGTCCAAAATATTTTATATTCAGATTAGATATTTCGAAATCAATGAAATGAAATACTTCCACTAATCTTTTGCCCGCAGAAATGTTTTTCATTCCGAAATAAAGATGTCATTTGAATTTAAATATTTTTTAAAAGTTCACAAATTCATTTGTCAACAAAATATGATCACTTTTTATCAATAAATATATCTACATTATACAGTATTGAATGCAAACATTGAATTCCTCTTAATAAATGGCCCTTGCATATAGGCAGCATAACAGTCAAACACATTCTACAGAGCCAACATACACATAATACATCAATATTACAAAACTGTGCGTTCTGACAAAATGTTGAAAATGTGACCATTTAGGTTGATTTGGTGAATATTATTCCAGAAGAGGTAGGGGATGGGGAAATGGGGTTGAGGGAAAGAAGGGGGAGACGAGGTGGTGGGTTAACGTGAAGCAGATAATATATCCCAGAAGGGTGGAAAGGAAACAAATACATGCAAAAAGATAGGATCTTACAAAATATATTTCGAATGATAAACATCTCACTCAAATTTGAGCTGGCAAAACATAATTCGATTGCAATTTCCTCCGATACATTGATAAACAAGAAGCATGTAGAAGCCGTATCTATATGTCCAAATATATAAAAGCTTTGTATCATTTTCATGAGGCCATGGAAACGATTTTGATGACATGTACCGCAGTGCAGCAACATGTTTCTAACTTGAATAAGACTAATGGGTAAAACAAACAATTCTTCATACCAAGGTCGTCTGACCTCCAAGTCAAAAATTTCAGAAACAAATAAAACAAAAAAAATTGAAATAAAGTAAAAAGGTATGGAGAAAAAACATGTATAGTTAATAAGCACTACATCCCTCTCATCCTTACCTCAAACTAAATCGACACCAGCCTAGCACACTTACAAGCAAACATGAAATATTAATAAAGAGTTTTTCAAATAAATTTGAACCTTTGTCACAATTCAGTCATTTCAACATTCTCTTTTCAGGTATTTTTTGTCTACTTTACAAAACTTAAATCTATTCAGATAAAATACCAAAACAAACAGGAACTTCATTTGAGGAAAGACATCAGCAATAAAGGTCAACCAGAAGTACCCACTGGAGCTTTAGTTAGCTCGGGAAGAATGTCAAAGTCTTGAATTATGACAAATTTCTTTTCTATTTAATATCAAAGTTTTTGTAACTAAAACAGATACAAATAAAATACAACATGCTTAATATACAAAAAAAACAACATTTAACTAGACAGCCTAGTAATTTGTTAAACTACTCTAAGTATTATTATAGCAATTTACATATATTTATGTGCTCAGTAACCTTTGACCTTTAGGTGAGGTCAAGTTTCTAATCACATTCGAGGTCAAAGGACATCAAAAAGCAAATCCAGATAAATACCATTTGCTTACAAAGGTACAAACTTATTAAACTTACAGGATTGCTTCATCTGTAAAATACTTGTTATTGTGTAGTTTTTGAATGATCCTGACATTGACCCTCCATCCTTTGACCTTTTAAGGTTAAAGGTCACTGGGATGTAAAACTGCCTTATACACAGTCGGCCACATGAGCAAAACATATGAAGTCATGTGACATTTCTTTTCTTCGCTAAATTGAATAACAACATAATTTATCAGTATGCAAATTATATCATACATAGTTATATACTTTAAAAAGATATATTTATATATATATTTATATAAGTTTTTTTTATAACTGTACAGCCTTTCAACAGACTACAACCATAGGTAATCTACAGACACATTCATACCCACGCGGTCATCTGTACCCACACGGGTCATCTGTACCCACACCGGTCATCTGTACCCACACGGGTCATCTGTACCCACACGGGTCATCTGTACCCACGCGGTCATCTGTACAAAACGCCGGTGTTCTATATCAACACATAATCCAGAATCACACAAGACGGTTTCCAAACTTTTCGATACTTGACAACTTCCAGACCATCCAGCACTGCAGACAGGGAGAAACATTCTGAGAAAAGTTTGCTCAAGTCCTAAGATAAATGGGGAAACTGTCTGAAAAAGTTATAAATAAGTCTGTACCCCTCTGTATGATATAACTATCACACACATTATATATAGGTGACTTATGTGAAGTGTTTTCTCCCGTTTAAGAACTTTCTTAATAGCACAAAGGACATTTTTGCCATCAAAACTTGAAAAATTTGTATTCATAATAAAATCATTTCATAGTTCCTAATCTTGAACTCTTCCAAAACAAAAACAAAAAGATAAGAGTGAGGGTACGGTGTAGCATACATCCTTAATCAGACATTTTCCCATCATTTCACAGACATGAAATGACATGTCTGCCTTTTTGTTCATTTTTGAAAACATGCTGGTCAATCACTTTGAACAAATTACTTCAAAATAACCAAGTCAGCTACAAATAGTTACCGACTTTCACAACTTTTTTTTTTTTTTTACATAAACACATTTTTTCTCCCAAAATATCTCAAGACTTTTATGCCAGCAACAACTAACGATCCGCAGGCGCATTTTCACATCTTAAAAAGGCACTGTGTTATGTGCTAAAAGCTTCCATGACCTTGACCTTCAAAAATCTTTCAAAACTTGACCTTCAAGTGATATCTTTTACAGAAGGAACACAATAACTTCAGAAATTGTACAACAAATATACAGAATATATCAAAAACACAAATAAACAACATTTATTATTTAAGTAATTATTTCACAGCATGATCAGAGAAAAAAACATTTTGTTCTTCAATTACATTAATGACCATGATTTTTTAGAAGTGAAACTTTTTCAATATTTAAAGCTGACCCCTTCTCAACAGAAAAACGTAAACTGTTCCAGGTAGGACAAGTGATAATTTGAGAGGTCATGCCCATGCACATGAAAATGCATCCCTAGAAAAAATTGAAAAACTTTTAACAAAAATGCAGGTCAAAATTTCTTATCAAATACTTATAAGAATTTTAACAAATTATTGAAACACATTTAATAAAGCACTAATCATTAATATCAATATAATTCTATAGCACAATTCGAGACCACACTCAGCTTATTCTTCAGGACATAATTTCCTCCCTGTTCTTCAAAGCAGTATCTTATAAAAATCACATTAATTCAATATTTCCTGCAGATTTTTCAACTTAAAGACATTAAAAGAGAATCAAACCCCTTTAATTTCATTCAATAAAACAAAAAGAGAAGATATCTATTTTGAGTTAAAAAAAAATATGGTTCAACTCATTCATTCATTCCTACATATTTAAACTGGACCTTTCCAGTCTTTGATTTGGTGTGACTTAAGGGGTGAATGGGTTAAAATGTGATATTTTAAATGAGTCAAGATGTAACATGAATGAATCTTGATGACAAACCAAGGAACCCAAGGAGATAAACAGACATTTAAGGTCTAGAAGTAAATAGACCCGACACTCATCTCATTTATACCGTACTCCTTCCTATCTGTGGTCACCTCCACTGCTGCTCAGTTAATACCAAACATCACATCTAGTTTTCATTCCAATACATAATGAATCTTGACCTTTGACCCTTGACCAAGGTAAAGCAGCACCAGACGAATGAAAAAAAAAAAGTTCCCTGCCGTAAGCATAATTAACCATTGACCCTAAAATACAGAGGTGACTCAATAACATTTCAACTATGAAAAAAAGTTCAAAAGTTGATTTTGCTTGAACCTCTGTAAAATCAGTTATGCCTCTCCGTAGAAGATATCATCTGCCAAACATTCACATCTATTTCTCTTGCACAACATATGGTTACTTCAACACCTGGACCGAGATACGTCACCTTGTCCACTTTTGATCTTCATTGAGAGGTAAAGAGGTCAACGTTAATACATTCATCAAATATGTACACGCACACACACATATATATATATATATTTATTTAGTGACATCATACTCAAGTCTATTTATAACCATGATACCATGGTAAGTCTTCAAGGTTTTTCCCCCCAAACCATTCCAGCACTTGCCTGTATATGGCTTGACCCTGTTACTAAAACGTCACAAAATTACAGCCCTATTTAACACAAAATTTTCTACAAACATCAGTCATTTGACACAAGGTTTTTCGGTATTTTACCGATATTCCACACATTGGTATTAAAATATACCAAACCTTTCTCCATGGTAACTAACTAATACTTGAATGTAGGTTCAGATTTTATCTATGGTTTTCAAGTTAACAAGTTTCCATGGAAATATATTCGACTTAATTTACATTCTTTTCTCTCATTCTCCCATGTTTCCATAGCAACGGCCAACAAAATCTTATTCAATCTGGCATTTTCATGTCCCCGTTGTCCTTCGTACACGAATGTTTGTTTGTTTCCCTGACGATCACATATTTTGAGTAAACATTGGTCAGTATAACAAGCACACACACTCACAGAATCAACGTAATAAGTAGACTAGTTTTTGTTGTCTGCTTCCGTCCTTCGTAATTCCTACACAATCAAACCTGTCAATAGTGCCACCTGGTGGCCGAAACATACAACACGATCACATCGCCGTTTCGTTTTGTCCAAGCTTTACAAACTCAATCTGTGCCCGAGAAACATCGCCGTACTGCTCTGGGTCGTCCTGATGGGGAGGTAGTTCCTGTGGGCGATGCTTCATCCGCATCAACGGGTATCCCAGAATTCCTGCCAATGCGAGCAGACTCCCAGACATGTAGAACACCGAGTCAATATGGTTTGTAGTATCCATGAGGAAACCTGTAACAGAGAAAAGGTGACTCATTAGTTTAATGTCCAAATCAGTTTGTAGTCAAGATCAGAAGTCGAACAAGAAATGTCCTGCATGTTTCCAAACAGGAGGAGGGAATGTACCTACAGCCTTAAAATAGCCCGTTCAGCCATTTTATCAGACTCAAATTTGTTTTACTTACTTTACTTTGTTCATTTTTTGTTCATTTTTTTCGCACACTTATAAATTTGATATTTCCCATTGGTTTTGGTTGCACTAAAGAAATTTTCTACAACTTACAAGGGAGATAATACATTTTGATAATGATACACACCTGCTAGTGGTGACCCTAAGATGGAGGCGATCCCCTGAAATAGGATCAGAAGACCAAAAGAGCTTGTCAGTCTCTCCAGGCCGATCAAATCGACGAGTACAATGGAACGCAGCGACAAAAAGGCAGCTGTCAACAGAAAACAGGAAAGGAAATATAGTGATTTAAAACTTTAAAATGTTCAAATCCTGGAAACACATTAGATTTTACTGCTGAGCCGGGGGCCAGTGCAATGCTCTCTTACATTCTCTGCAAACCCTGGAATATGTCATGTTGAAAACAAAGGCTCTGTACTCACCACCTTGCGGATGGTACAAGTAGACTCATTTGATCCTTCCATGTACATCACTACTCTGCAATCTTCAGAGGACAGGTATCAACCAGGTGATTGGTATTTTTTTCTAATTCTGTTATCAATCAAGTACTTTACTGCATGCCTGCAATTTTGTCATGACATTTTCCAGGTGTGCAGAGAATGTAAGTGAGCACAAAACCTGGAATTTCCAGACAGGGGTGGTGGGGGGGCTAGTATTCGGTCAATAGTTAAATGTATTTTACCTGTTGTCAGACCGAATCCACAAGAAAACAGAATCATCAGCGAGTATGTTGTACAGAATGGACACAAGATTGTAATAACTCCAGCCAGAATCAGACTGATATTGTTGATCAGTATTGAGTTCGCCCAAGGCCTGTCGGCGATCCAGCCTGCCAGGACTCGGCCCAGTGTGTTGGACAAACCAATCACAGCGAGGACGAACGATTCTGGGTCAGGTGTCGAGCTGTCCTCTTTTGGCATGTTTCGGACTTTCTCGGGCAAGAAAAAATAAGGAATGAAGAATCCTGAAACGAAAGAAAAAAACATTCAAGATCACTATGAGTTCATTCACCCCTACAACCTTAAACTGGACTTGACCAGTCATTGATTTGGTAAGGTTCAAATGTGACTTCAGGGGTGAATGGGTTAAATAGTTTTGAATTACCAGAAAATATTTCAGGTTAACCCTCAAATATCTCTGATTTCCAAAGAGAACTGGTTAAACATTAAAATTTACATAGGAAAAATGGAAACAAATAAATCTGTTTTGCATCTTTTTTTTCCCTTTTGATTTGGCAAATCGTGAATTTCTCTGGAGAAATTGGGGATTCCATTTAGATATTAAAATGAGCCAATTCTGCATTAAGTTTACCCAGCATGTCATTGTTATTTGTTTGTACAGTTGTCAACTTACAATAGCTTACGGTACTTACGGTACTTTCAATAGCTTACGGTACTTACAATAGCTTACAGTACTTACAATAGCTTAATGTACTTACGGTACTTACAATAGCTTACGGTACTTACAATAGCTTAATGTACTTACGGTACTTACAATAGCTTACGGTACTTACGGTACTTTCAAAAGCTTACGGTACTTACAATAGCGTAATGTACTTACAGTACTTACAATAGCTTAATGTACTTACGGTACTTACAATAGATTACGGTAATTACAGTACTTACAATAGCTTACGATAATTACAATAGCTTACGTACTTACGGTACTTACAATAGCTTACAGTACTTACGATAGCTTACAGTACTTACGGTACCTACGATACTTACAATAGCTTACGGTACTCACGGTACTTACAATAGCTTACGGTACTTACAATAGCTTACGGTACTTACAGTACTTACAATAGCTTATGGTACTTTCGGTACTTACCAAGCATGTTGAGGAAACTTGTTAATGCGTATAATAAAAAAGCCTTTTCCTTCAACAGCGACAGATCAAACATTGTACTTAAACTCTGGATCCAAACGGGGATGTCTCTGTCCTCGTAATTCTCAATCGTCTGCACGCTCGCACTATACTGAAGAGGTACAGTCATCACCGATGATCCCAAAATGCACTGGGGTGGCAGGAGATGGTTGTTTGATTGAGATCGAGAGTTTCCGTTGCTGTCGGCAACGCTGTAAAAACTTCCATTCGTCTTGCCATTTGACATCGTAGGGCTCACATTGTCTTGACTGTTTAGGGTGTTAGAGCTTAAGCTCTTAGTGTTCAATGAGCCTCCTTGCGATAACTTTTCCCAGGGGTCTTCCTGCGGCAGTGCATCGTAGCTTCGAGCTTTTGGAGACTCAAGACTCCCACATCCGCTGTCTCGTCTTTCCAAACGCCTTTCATAATCTCTTTTACGACGTTTTTGAGGGGAAGCTTTTTTAGGTTCCTCTGCCAACGGTGTTTCCTGGGATGACATAACAAGTGAAGGAGGTGTTGAAACGACACTTCCTTGTCTCTGCGGCGTTGAACACGCACTACCGTGAATTATAAGACTATTTTTACTCCGAAGCAAACTGCGTGAACTATATCCTAGGTGTTCCTTGAGTCTATTTATATATGAGGAACTTTTGTTCCGTAAGTCTATCTTGTCTATTTTAATAAGTCTATTGTCTTTTGTAATAATGCAATTGTCTAGCGAGCCATTACTTATTGTTCGCTGTCGTTCTTTCTCTAAAATTAGGGCCTTCATGATGGAACCTCTCTGTACGACGCCGCGCTTCATGCGTTTCACTGTCGGGCGCTCCAGTGGACGGAACAGAGCACCACAAACGACACACTGTAGCACGATTCCTGCCACGATCATTGTGCACTGTTTCCAGTGATATTCCTCGCGAAGATATTTGTTCAGCGGTGCAAAGATCAATGTGCCAATCCCGGACCCACAAAGTGCAATACCAGTTGCAAATGCCCGCTTGCGTTCAAACCAGTACCCAATGATTACAATGGCTGGCAGATAGATCAACCCTAGGCCCGCACCTGCAAAGTCAAGGTCATTTAGTATTAAAATTAAGAAATAAATGCACAACATTCAAACCACAAAACAGCTGATTGTGACATATCTTGTACGCATCTCCAGAATTGGAATATTCTTTCTCAGCCTATGAAAAAAACAATTTTTGTAACACACCAAATTTTCAGAATTTGATTGCTTCAGAAATATTATTTTTTTCATTTTCTCAAAATTTTTCTAATGTATCTTTTCAAAACATTTTCCCGCAACAGGAGTTGTTATGGTGATATATGATAAGCAACTCACCAGCAATAATGCCGTACGTCAGAACCAGGATCTCTATGGAGGGTGCCGACATGCTGATGAGGAAACCAGCGCATGCCAGAATTGCGCCAAATATCGTCACCTTACGGCATCCAAATCTGTTTGCCAGAGCACCGCCAAGTGGACCTGTGAATGGAAAGACCTTAGTTTGTTCACATCTATTAAGTTAATCGATGAACTTTCACCCCCCCCCCCCCCCCCCCCCCCCCCNGATTTAAGTAATTCTCAACACTGTGACGGAAGTTTCACATCTATTAAGTTAATTACAGAACTATTTTTTCCAGAACACCGGTTTAACCGATTTACAAGAAATACCCAAAACTGTGACATTTGTTTTTAATTTTTTTTTTTTAATATTTTCAAATACTTTCTTCTCATGCATGAATACATTTTCAGTTTCTTTCAGTCTTTGCTCAATTGATACATTTTTGGTATTCGTTTAATTTTTAATTTTTTACGCAGGCATGCAATAACAGTACAACTGCTGTATCAATGAAAAATGACCAGAGATATATTTAAGAATCAATAAATGAAATACACGATGAAGCTTTGCAAAAGAAATTAGTTGCACAGAGTTGATACCTACCAGCCAACAAGTAACAGCCCACCAGTAAAGACCCCACAAGCGTTGCTTTCCAATGTCCAGCATCGTAATAGCTTATTATGTCCTGCACGAACTGTCCAAACGTGAAACAAATACCGTCAACAATCACATTGCACATAAACGAGGCAAACACTATCACCCAGCCCCAGCCTCCATCTGGACATCTTGAGTTCGTGCGCGGCTCTGGCTCCGGCTCAAACTCAAGGTCCTTCTCGCTGCACTCATCAAATTTCGTGACCTTCATCGTAGCAGCTACAGCCATTGGCTACTGCAGCTTGATACAATGTTACATTGTCAGATCTGCAAAGAAGAGACAATTACGTTAATATCTTTGACAGTAAAGGGAGGTAATTATGCCTTCACAATATTTCATGCAACAACATGGAATGTGTACAGTAAAATTAATGAAGGATCATTAATGTTTTTCTGCAAAAAAACCTTCCAACTAGTGTTGCAAAATCAAGAGATAAAATATGTATGCTTCACAAACTTTGAATCTGTTAAAGGGAGTCAATTCTATAAACGGAAGGTTATTTAGCAAGAGCCAAAGTAATTATGCACACAGAACTTTTTTAAAATCTGCAAAGGAATGTAATGGAAAGAAAATGGGGATTATTACAAAGTTAAACCTAAGGGAAATATCATTCTATATATAGCCAGTTGGCAAAAAATCGGGAAATATGTCAGGGGAGGTAACTCTGAAAAGAAAGGTTATCAAGAAAAACCTTTAGGGAAGGTATTAATGAAGGGCAAGCTTTTTTTAAAGGGAGGAATTGTCAAACTTGGAATATATCATGGAGGATAAATGTTTAAGGGTTCTAGGGTAACACTAAACCTGAAATATGGAAAGGATTGTACATTAAAAAGAAAGCTACCATATTATAAGGACTCATTCATATTTTATAAGGAGTTACTTATTTAGATTGGTGTTTTTTTTAAGTATTGAGTGGTCATTATAAGATCAGATAGAGAGAACTGACCACTCTCTAGTACAGTTATTACTGTCCATGTTTGTGTACAGGAAATATACAGATGCCGATTTAAAGTTGAAAACTGTCCGAATTCCTTACAAGTGAACATGAAATATTACCCATCCCGACACCCAAGCGTTCGTATGAACTAGAATGGTCAGTTCTCATGCACATATATTGGACTTTAGTCTTAGGATACACGATCGCAGAGCTACATGTAGATATCGCCTTTTCAAAGACCGGACCGTCAGCAGCGATCTGTATGATCAGCGCCAGCGAGATTTAGGTCACTCGGTTGGTTAAACTGGTCGGCCTAGCCAAGACCTTGCGCTCCATGTCCGTAGCTAGGTCGAGCTCTAGATATTACATTACTAGTCACCTAATCGATACTCTCTACTTCGTCTTTTTTATTTTCCACCGACTCAGCGTATAGTTTGCCGGTCTCGGTTGACAAGGTGAGAGAAGCCACCGAGGTGTAGCTAATACATATACACCTCTTATTTATAACTGCGCTACTTTGACAAGCAGAGGAAACATTTCAGTTTGCTTTCACAAAATATGTTAGATGTTTCTTCCGTCGGTAAACGGTGAAGGTGATGAGTAGTATTACATTGTGCTCTGAAGAGAGACGTACTGAATATGGGTTATACATTTACGTCTCCGAATAAATCTACGGTATTTCTGCGACATTGAGAAATAAGTATTTTAAGCTAATAAACTGACATTACCAATAAACAGTTTACTCAGCTTATATCCCTACTTTTTGTAGTTCTAGAGGCCATACTGGGCCCTACACGCTGGTCCACTTTCCCGCCATTATGTCGGGCTGAAGACAATTCTAACCGCGTCACACCAGTTGTAATAATTTTCACGATATTTCCGTTCTATTTTGAAAAAATCCATAGATGTTTCAACCTAAATGGAAAGAATTAACGATAAAAATGATTTGTTGTCTTTTTCCCATTATCTATTACGAATAGTATACTTGTATACAGGGATAATCCTGAACGGGGCCATGGGGCCGCACATTGACCCCTCCTAACTGAAATCGACCCCTCCATGTTCCAATTTTCTTTCCATTTTACATAGAATGGTCCCTCTTAATTTTGACATTGACTGAAAATTGCTGAAAATGGCACACTGCTCCCAATTCCAGGTTTTTCCCTGGGATATCATACATTTTTACGATGTAATACTAAACTGTTTCTACGGTTGGCCGGCTTGTTGTGACGAATTCTTTCCATCAAATGTCCATTCTGACGTCAGTGTGTGTAATTGGTAGATGTCATGAACATTTGATCACAAAACTGTCAATAACAAGTCAGAATCGTATATTTACCATGATATTTTCGATGCGCAATAACATAAGTTAAATATTGAATCTGTTGGGTTTTTTTAATCTCTGATTAAACCGGGCCACCCTTTGTGTAACTGGATATAATTATAACTGCTCCGAATTCATTACAGGGAGATTCTGATGTCTAGAAGGAATAGTATTGAGAAGCTTTGGGGTTTAGAGGAACACTCGACGCATATGATACCATCATTGGGATAACGTTTTTACGAAAAGTTGATCTACACTCTTTAACACATTAATTTATAATATTCCCTTCACGTTGGTTCAAACATACACCCGTCAGTTCTAAATGTCCCTGAGACCTAAAGCAATGAGTAATGATTAATTGGCCTGGTCATTGATTGAGTGTTGTAATTCACGTGACGATCTCGTGGTCAAATCAAACAGTTCAATGAACGCACCGACATAAAATTCTGTACACTAAATCCCTCTATTGTTTTAGCATTTTCAAGAGAATAATTGCGCCTGGCCTTGAATGTAAATTTAACCCGCGACTCAAACCCATTAGTATGTAATATTATTTATAACTCGGACAGGTCTGCTCAGCGCGTGGCTCCCGCGTGTTACGAAAAACAATTCATAGGCGACACAGAAATACAATATATATACACCTACATGTGTCAGGAACTGCTTGGTTGCTGGCCCAAAATAATCTAATACACGCATTGTAATATAGCGTACATAAAAAAGCCATGCGCAACAAAAGTTTGTATAGAAACATTTCTAAAATCATATTGGAACTTCGATTTTAAGCTTTGTGCCCTTAATTTAGTTTTTCTTAAATCCAAAAACAGCATCAAACTTGGTCGTGTCCCGGTGCCGACTTGCATTTAAATGGAAACACGCTTTTTTTATTCTCTACTCCGTATTGATTCGGGCCCTACAGAGTGTATAAATTATATATTACTTTTTTTTTATTTTCACGACTTTGAGCTAACAAGGCAGTTCAGGGACAGTATATAGTTCCATTATACGTCCCTGGGCAGTTTAAAGAGCTTCGTAGAGTTCGACCTTCACCTTGGATATGTATAGGTGTATTGGACTCGCAGAAGGAAGGAGACATAGGGACTGCTGTACCTGCCAGGTAAAAATCGGGTCGAGCGGCTAATTTATATACTTGTCTGTTCATAGTATAGGTGTACCGGTGAAACGGGAAACCAGCTACAAAGAGTTGTACAACTAAGACAGTTCGTTATAAACTTTCTGGTTGAAATCATAATCTGACGGGGGGNATCATCTCGCAAAGATCAATGTGGTCTACGCAAGGCTTTCTCACAAAGAACGATCGTCGTCGACCCTGTACGCGTAGAGTTTAGTTATCTCGTTGGCATTCGTGTAATCTTGATAATCCGTTCTCGGTTACACAAGGAGACGCATACACGTTGAGTGAATATACAGCGGTCGGGCATAAACTTCGATATCCAAGAGTTCCGCTGTCTGTATCTCATCTAAAGATAAGTATGATATAGATAGCGTTATAACTCTTGGATTTCAACGGCGAGAAGTGTGCGTCCAGTAGATTTATACCACCTCCTCACATCACGAATAAGGCCCTGAGCGAGTAGGTGCGTACTGTGCACTTACAGATGTAGTAAACCGACATCTCAGCTTTGTGCACGTACATTGTTGAGACATAACCCGACAACCCAGATATACTTTGGGCCTTACTACGTATACAAGCGACATGAGTTACACAGTAGTACCAGTGTACCCATCATTTTGTATGCTGTCTGAAAGTATGGTCAGCTTTTCGGGTGTTATCACATTGAAATCTTCAAATTGCGACTGCTTTAAAGTATAATGACCAAATCTTTTGTTTCCTTTCCTTCCACCATCATTTAACTATCATATTGCAACCCCATATAATCTGGGCTACATTAATAAATATTTTCCAAGTAGATGAGGATTTCACTTCGTTGTATGTAAGCTAATACTACTTTGCGTATCCGCGTTCCGGAATCGGTTCATGCCTTTGCCAGCTACTACGTATTTATACGACTAGTAGTCTTGGCTGATTTTACGAGAGGGAGATGGATACCTTTACTCAGCCAGCGAGGGTTATACACGTTTACCCAGCTAGCGAGGGTTATACACGTTTACCCAGCCAGCGAGGGTTATACACGTTTACCCAGCTAGCGAGGGTCATACACCTTTACCCAGCTAGCGAGGGTTATACACGTTTACCCAGCCAGCGAGGGTTATACACGTTAAGACTAAGAGTCCCACCACTTCTGACTTCTTTCCGTGAAAGATACGAGTACCTTACTAACTACCGCCGTACACGTCCTCTCCGTTTCATATCATAATGATTTAACAAAATAGATAATCAAACTATTAATATTTAGGAATCGCCACACTTTGTGAGCTTCTGAAAGACAAAACAGGAAATACTGTGGAAAGGTACCTGATGATCTGTGAGGATTTATTTTTTATTAACTTGTTCATCCATGAAATTTCATAATGGACTACTCCACCCTTTGAATCGGAAGAGTTCAAATGTGTCTTCAGGGGTGAATGAGTTAATACTAAAAAAAAGAAGATATTTTGGCAATCCGTTTAAAGAATGTTTGATGTGGCCAAATATCACCGAGCATATGAACGTACATCCTCAATAGTCCAGGGGTAACGCTCACTTACGTTCTCTGCAAAGAGGATGATGAACATAAAACATCTTCAGTATAATAGCATCGTAGAATTGCCGTTTTCTAAGCGATTACACTCATGTCATATGTTTAAGCATTGAACTGCTATCAGCTGGGATACATAGGCAATATGAATGCCAACTGGACAAAGGCAAATTCAATGAAGGTTCATGTTGGATTTGCCTATGTACAGTTGGCACTCATATTGCCTATGGATGACGATTGAAAGCAGTTCAATACTTATGTTTACCATTTTGGAATCTGTTCATCTAAAAAAAATCAATTACATTTATTATTATTAAGCATTTAGTTTAAATAATTAATAATAAA